GCAATAAGGATGCCTAATGAAATTATGGAAACAATTTTATGCAATTTGTCAACACTTTAAAGCAAAACTCGCAGCACCTGGAACATTCTTTTTATATTCCTCAAAGCAATTACTTTGGTGTAGTTTTGATTAATGTCATAGGGTTTTTGGATTCATAAACGAAAAGGTATACATTCAAGCTTCTTAGTATATCATTTAACATTAAAAAAGTGGTGGAAAGTTCATAATTGGCAATACACTAAGTAAGTTGGCCTCAGTTAAACTATGACCAGAGAGTGAAGAGGGTAAACTTAGCAAGCTCCTATGCAAACCTTTCAATTCTCGGATCGTTGGCTGTACTTGCGTTTATACGAAGGCAATTTTAAGTCAGTGACTTTTTGAATTTCCCGCTCAGTACCTTTGATGGCGATTCTCACGCCCTCTGCTGTAAATTTTTGAGCAAGCTGCGCCAATTAGGTTGTGTTTGACAGCCATTTGGAAGCAGAAAACCTCGTGATTTTTAACGAAAATGGAAAAAAGTGAATTTCGTGTGCTGATTAAGCATTATTTTTTTGGGTAAAAATCCATTATCGAAACTACGAAAAGGCTTGACAAATACTACAACATCAATTTCAATGGTTAAAAAGTGGTTTACTGAGTTCCGTTGTAGTCGTACCAGCGCAAGTGACCGAACATTCAGGTCGCCCAAAAGCAGAGACTGAAAATAAAAGTTATTTTAAAATTTTTGACATCAAAAAGGTATTATAAAAAATTATGCTATATACATAGCTTTTTCAAAGGTACCATTAAACCCAGCTCTCATTGTAGATTTTCATTCCTTCATGACTTTTAAAAATCTAACTTTAATCACTTTGAGCAAATAATACAGATTAATTCTACTTTTTGTTTTTTCAAGGCCAAAATAAAAGTTAAAATTTGCCTTTTATTTTTTTTTTTAGAGGTCGCTCAAAGCGCTCAAAGTTGTCCATGTATTTTTATATGGGAAAAAAACAACTTTTCGTAGAAACGGTCTAGAATTCTTGAAAATCAATATTTTTCGAACGGAGAACTCTGGTTCTCTTCAAGAGGCTTTCAATAATATTACTCAACTGTTTATTCAACCATATTTTAATACTAACGATATTTTATTTGTCTGCCCATTACATTTTTCGGGGTTTTTATGGGTTTTTGGCAGAACTATAAATTATAGTTGCGATGAAAAAATGGTTAAATCAACAATTTGGTATTATTATTGGGAATCAATTGCAGATAAATAGAGTTTTCCGATAGAAAAATATTGAAATTTAAGAATTATATACCCATATAAAATACATGGAAAACTTTGGGCGCTTTGAGCGACCTCTAAATATTTTTTTGATTTCAAAATAACAAAATAGGGGTATATTTTTACGGTATGGAACAATCCTAGGAGGTGAGAGCATAAAAATTCTGACTTTAGTTTTTCACATGCATTTTCGGACCACCCTAATGTATGTATACCTACAATACATGAAGGCTTTTTTTTTGTTAACGGCATCATATCTGCACCGATGATTCAATTTTCAAAACTGAGGTGCTAAATTAAAGAGCTTGGCCTCTAAATGTACAACAAGGTTTGGCTTTTTTGTAAAGGCTTGCCACCTTTTTTTTTAATTATAAAACCTACACCGTTCGTTGTATTAAAAGAAAATCAGGTGTCAAATGAATGGGCTGGGCCTCTAGATGTGCAAGAAGGTTTAATTTTTTTAAATAGCGTTGCCACCTGCTTAAAAATCATGAGACTTACACCATTCGCGCAATTTTAAAAAATGAGGGGCCATATAAACGGTTTTACATCTACAAGGAAGAAGGTCTTATTTTTTGAGAAGGGTTGCCACCTGTTAAATTTTTTTTTTTCGTGCAGAGCATCAGATTTACACCATTCTCTCGATTTTAAAATGTAGGGTCAAATGAAAGGGATTGATCTACAGACGTGCTTCGGGTAAATTTTTTTTTTATAATGTTTGCCACGTATGTAATTATAAATCTATTGTTTGTAATAAGATAGTCAGTAAAATATCACAATAAGGGCATCAAGCCCAATTAATTAATGGCTGCGTTTCTTTATACATTCCGGATAATCCCATTTCACAGCCGGAATAAACAGAATGCGTTTGAAATATACGTCAACATATCATCAGGAACGTTCTAAAGAATAAATAAACAAAAAAGTTTATTCCAAACGTTCAGAATGAATAAAGAAATGCAGCCATTATGTTCGTGTTTTTAAGAGTTGCCACCTATTCAAAAAATATATAACTATGAACGGTAAGTAACGTATTAAGGACATTCGATATTGGTACCAAACGACAGTTAGTTAAAAGGGCGTTTGTGAAAATGTATGCGAATTTTTGTTTGAAGTTTTTATGCTGAAGAAATTGTGATTACTATAAAACACAATTTTAATCGTTAAAACCTTTTTCTAACTTCTTTATGCCTACGGGCTAGGCCATTAACGCGAGTTAAGGGTTCGTTTTTATAAAAAAAAAAAACTGTGAAGTGTTCTTATAGCAGTGTTTCAGAAATTCGTAGTTTTTTTGACAGTTGTTTCTTTACTTTTTCTTATATACATTGCAAAATTTTTTACAAGAGTTTTCAAAGTTCAACAGTGTGGTGAAAATTTTTTCTAGCGCGGCGGAAGTTTTACCACCGTGCTGCCAAATTTAGTTGAAAAAATAGTTGCATGTCCATAAACACAAAACAGCAGCGGTGATAGAATCAAGTTATAGAAATATCTAGGATGCGTTATTTTTTTTTTTTGTAGGTCTTGTCGAGTAAAATAAGAATCAATATATTTATAAAACAGCAATAGTTCAAATAAAAATGTTCTAACAACACAGCTGTTCAAGCCGATGATGTCGATATCATAGGCATATGCCAGTCATTGTGGGTCGGAGAATTGCTTCCCAGTTCTGACGGGGCAGAAAGTATCTTTGTAATCGACAAATAAATGGCGAGTATCGTTTCGCTTTTCGCGGGTTTTTCCAAGATTTGACTACCTGGTCTATGGTGGATTCACCAGGTCTAAAGCCACGCTGATAAGCTCGTTGGCGGTTTCATATAAAACGCTCGATAAGACCTTAATCATGACGTTTAAGATGCTGATCCCGCGGTATTTGGCGCTTACGGTGGGCAGAACACACTTCTTCGTACTTGAATAGCTCATCTAGGAGGTCGTTAGCGCAAAGAACTGAAATTTATATTCAAACCTCGTCACAGTCTGGCGATTGGCCATCGGGTCCGTCGTGTTTCACTGTGGCTTTGGTCCATATTTTTCACTACTTTCAGGGCTGCTTTGATTAAATAGGTAGGAAAAGTGTTTTTTCTTCCATTATTTAAGTATATTCTGGTCATCGGTGTCGAGGTCGCCGCGCTTTACCTTACAGGAATCCGACCTCATTTGGAAACCTTCCGTTAGTCACCTAAATTTCTTCCTACCAGCATTTCAGGCACATCCAACTCACGTACCAGCTGTTCTTTCTTTTGCTATCGACGTTAAGCAATTTTGGGACATGATTATAGGATAATGGTTTGGGCGTGCGTAAGTAGAAAAAAAAGTAAAATTTGTAGAGTTTTGTATCGATTGGTTTTAAAGTACCACAAAATTGCAATCTGTAATTTGTACTTATTTTGTGCATTTCTTTAAGTACATAAATGTAGCAAGATGTTCTATTGTTTAAAAAGCCTTAATGAGCTTTAATTTTCGCCACACGTCTTACATTCTTTTCCGCCTCTAAATGCAAGTTTCTTACTTCAGCTAATATTCCTTGTCCTTTGAAGAAATAAGCAAACGGATGAATGTGTGTACAATAGGGTGGTCCAAATACATGCGGGGAAAATGGTTTAAAATGTTAAGCTGTCACCAACAACGATTCTTCTAAATGAAGAAAAAACCGTATTTTTCTGTTAGAAAAAAGTATATATTTAGAACTGCCTCAAAGCTGATAAAGTTTTCATGCGTTTTATGGGGGGGAAAACACGTTTTCGTAGAAATGGTATAGAATTCTCGAAAATCAAATTTTTCCATGGGATTTCTCTGTTTCTCTTAAGGAGACTTCCGATAACAATCACCAATTATTTATTTAACCAATTTCTAATATCAACTATTTTTTTATAGGTCCCCTAAAGACCCGCAAAAATGCAATGGGGGGAACCATAAAAAATTGTCAGTACTAAAAAATGGTAAAGTAAACAATTGGGTATTATTATTGGTAGTCTGCTGCAGAGAAACAGAGATTTCCGACCGAAAAATATTGATTTTCAAGTGTTTTCTCCATATAAAATATATGAAGAAGTCTTCATGAGCTTTGAGGCAGTTTTAAACATCATTTTTTTACCAAAAAAATATGGTTATTCTTTTTCCATTTAGAGAAATCCCAGAGGGTAAGAGCTTAACATTTTAAACTTTTTTTTTTGACCACCTTAGTGTACAAACATACACACATATGTCAACAGTCATTACACGATTTCGGCTTATCAAATTTCCTCTATGCTTGTATATGTATGTATGTACATAAATACATACATGAATAAATATAAAATGGTGCAATTTGCTCGCACATAGATAAATATGACTCAATCGAACGCGAGCAATTGTGGAGACAGGACGTTAAAGTTGATGTAGTATTTATGATGGAAAAAATACGAATAAAACAATTAATTCATAAGCGTTAAAGTGATTTTTTTACCAATATTTAGTATCATTATCCAAATATCAAAGCTTAAAAAAATTAAAAATTTTATGATTTTATCGTTTTGATTAATCTTTAAGTATTTGTGCTAAGTGTGCTAAGGTTTGTTAATCGAAAACTTGATTCGAGTGTCAACCATTTTTATCATTGCACATTCACAACTTTTTACAACAAAAAATAAAAAATTAAATCAAAAGCGTTCAACGCACGCCTTATCACAGCAACTACACGCTTACTGAATACCTATTTTCACAAACAATTTGCATTTATCATAATTTTCTCTCTCCACAGTGGGGTGAACAACGTGGCTGCCCGCGCGAAGAAATGATATCCTTTTACGATTCCGAGGGCAATGTGCCGCTACACTCGGCCGTCCATGGTGGTGACATTAAAGCGGTAGAATTGTGTCTGAAGTCGGGCGCGAAAATCTCTACACAGCAACATGATCTCTCAACGCCAGTGCATTTGGCGTGCGCACAGGTGAGTCGAGCAGGGAAGTGAAGTAAGTGGCGGTGTATTGTCCTGCAGAAAAAAAATGTCATTACGATAGGATTTTTCAGCTTAATTAATTTTCTCAGAAATGTTTTCTAATGAAACATTTATCGAGAAGATTTTAAGGCTTAAACGGACTTAAACTAAATTAGCTTATTGTTTGGAATTTAATTGAGATAATATGAGAAGAATTTAAAAAAGAAGCCACGAATGAACTTCTAATACATACATATATTTCGACCAATAACACTGTAGGGACGCTATAATGATCAGATAATTTTTCTAAGATATTTTCATGTGAAGTTTGCATTGCGAATGAAAAAAAAATCAGACTTTAACATGGAAAATGTTACTCATACGCCATGTACGAGTAGGTATGAGAAAGGTCATGTGCGCCATGGCGTATGAGTAACATTATTTCATGCTTCTATTTCATACTACAAAAAATGATTGCAGTTTTTTATTTTCCCAATCGATTTTCATCGTAAGTAGCTTGGTTTTTTGGCAAAAGAACGAGCTTTAATACAAATGAAGAAAATGCAAAAGATTTGTAAATTTTTTGTTAAATTTTTTCCTTCTGAAAAATAAAAATAACTTGGAAAAATTACCTAATCATGACAAACTGTATACAGATCCACAATCTACGATCCAATATTAAATTGACGTTTTTCGGCGCTTTTTGTGTCATTGCAAAACATGACAATTTCCCTACAGTCTAAAAAGAAATTCGTTCACATACTGCGAATAACGATACTTTGATTAAAGAGACATTAAACGACATGTAACTGAATAATTGAGTATATATGCACATATATTTGTATGTAACGCCGGGAAACATGCTAGAGACAAAACGAACTTTTTAATTGGATTTGGCAAACAAAATCAAATACATTAAAAATAATTATGGGGACATATGTATTTAGCTTTCGGGCAGTCTAACAGTAGTAAATAGCAAACATTGCCTTTGCTTCTACATATGTACGTAAGTACAAATATATTATATAAATGTAACCTTGTTGCAAAAATGCAGACAAATAAGAAATATCGCTAAAATATATTTTAGTTGAATGTCGAACTTACAGCTTCGATCAAACAGGTTTTTGAAATGCCGACCACCCGATCGTTTTCCCCACATTTGCAAACTTATTTTCATTCATAAAGTTTCTGGCATTTATCGAAGTTGTACGCATTTTTGGAAACAAAATACCGAAGTTTTCAAAAACAGATTTTTTTTTTTGATAAAAGGACTCTGAAGTTGAGTTAAATACGTTCGTAACGATGAGTGGAATAATGCTTTTAATTCTATAATAATCTTCAATGCTGCTAGTGTCTGCGTTGCAGCTATTTCTTTGGCGTTTGTTGATGTGTGCTTTCTTGACATCGATATCGTATTCTTATATTTTTAAAAATTGAATGAAAAAATGAATTTTTTTGATGCCAGCTACAGCACAAGCTGCATTTAGGGCTGAGTTAAAACCATGATAAGCACAGTTCGCATAAATGGCAAGAGAAAAATCCTCTGTGGTACGAACAATCTAAACCTACTTCTTGATAACTGTGTTAAAATCTAATAGGCGATGAACAGTGTGACCAGGTTAGTCTTTTTGATGCTAGATTTGCAATTATATATTTGCTCCAGCCACGAAAATGTAGGTCTAGCTTCGTGTTTTTTTGGGCTTTTTCATATGCTACTCTATCTTTATGTAATTTTCATTTTTTTAGTACTCTGAGAAAAAAATCGATTTTATAGAAATGTTAAGAAATCTTGCAGTGAAATTTCCAATTAGCCTTAGCGCTTTTTTCGGACCATACGTATCGCGGTGTGTATGGAACAAAGTTAAATTTGACTGCGTCGGAAACGGAAGGCCCATCGCTTTAAGAGATCAGAAAAAAGCTTGTTAAGGGCAAAAAATTCAAAAAATGATCTTAATGAGTAGGTTCCGTTCACTTGCATATTTATAAGTGCTGTAAAATTTTTCAGCATAAAAGTGCTGACTTTTCTAGCTTATTTTTCACTATACATATCTAACTTTTTCTAAGCTTTTTTTAAGTCACTCTAGCTTAATTTTTTGTGATCATCTGGTTACACTAGTGATGAAATTAAAAATCACCTGCTTAGTAAAATCCTAGATGCCCCACTGCCTTGTTGATTTGTCAGTAATGAGCGGAATATAAAAAAGTGGCATTTTCATGGCTGTCGTAACCTTTGAGTAATGAGTAAAAAAGTAAGCTACAGAAACATGAAATAATTTCAGTACATACTATGTTTGTAGGCACATTGTTCAAATATTCACCGGAATTTTTTCTGCCATTAATAACTGACAATAGACTGCACACCACCGCGAAAAAATAGCAAAACGAAAGGAACACCAGCAGCCATCTCCACATCTATGCCAAAATACTGCGGCCAACAATGTTTTTCGCCATATTAACATTCGCTATTTTGCCTCTTAAGCCAATTATTTGGGAAGTTGCCCTAATCGCTCTGTTGACGCGGAACCAAAAATTACTCGAATTCCTTCGTATGTAAATATGTAATGGCAACAAACGTTGTTTACATGTATGTTTGTATGTACGTAGTAAATTATATTTGCAACATTTTTGAGCATCGCATGTCGCTATGTAAAAGTGACAGAAGCTAAGCAGAATTCTTCTAAAAAACTTGATGTCAGTAAATAGTAGCGAAGTGTCGGTTATTGACAATGATTCTTAGTGGAAAAATGTGGGTATTTTCGAATAACTTAAACATACATATGTATGTATGTATGTATAGTATACTAGAATGTATCCAATAAAACCACTATTTTCATTTTCTTTTGGTTCCATATGAAAATTTCTTAGTCGGTCATAAGAAAAATATTATAGCTGATTCCAACGAGGGACGTCCTTTAGCTTCCTTACAAGAAAAATCGTTCCAAAGAATTCCGACCGAAAATGAGCCCATATAACATGATTGGCTTGACTGTGGTTTCATATAGCCAGAGCATATCCCTTTTGGAGAGTGGCCCCATCTCTTCCCCATGGCATTTTTACAGCAATAAAGAGCCACCGCTCCTCAAAATTTGTCTGCCATGATAAAATCCCGTCCAAGATAATGTCTTATAACTTGGCCCTGTGAAAGCGAACAAATGAAAGACCCCCTATTGAGGGAAGCTGGGCATGAAGCACTTTTTAACTCCTGGTCAATAGTACGAGCTCTGTCTTTCCAGAGTTTATAGCAAGTCTGCAGCGAGCAGACCTATTTGTGAGCATAAGATCATACCGAATGTCCAAGAACTTACTTCTGACGATGAGCGCCACATCATCCACGTAGGCAATAACCTGGTATCCTCTCCTTTTCAACTTCTCCAGGACGTGGTTTATCAGGACTATCCAGAGAAAGGACGCCTCCCTGCGGGTGCTCCTGCTCACTTTACGCCGGTCAAAGGCATTGCCCAATTCCGCGGTGACAGTTCTGTCGTGCAGATGATCTCTTCATTCGGCCTAAATCTCTTATCGTCCAGCCATTTCTTTGGGTTTGGAAACAGAAAATATTCCCTGAGGGCAAAATCTCGCGAATACAGTGGATGCGGTAGGAGTACGTCGCCCAATTGATGGACTTATTCTATGATGACAACACACGTGTGTGCCCGTGTCTTGCCTTGATGGAACAGAACAGGACAATAATGAAACTCAGCAAACCACTGTTCAACCATTGCAATTGATGGTGCAGAATCCTTATAGGATTTATCAAGCAATCCTTTGGTTTCCCTTATGGATTTTTTACGCTAACACTAATGCTTAATCAGCACACGAAATTCACTTTTTGAGATTTATCAAGAATCAAACAGCACCTCCGTCAACTTTCATGCCGTGAATTCCACTATCGGAGACTAATGCCACCTACCGAAGACGAAGAGTTCGAGTTGCTTCGTTAGGCTGGCGATACTTTGACACAACTCCCATGTGGATATTGTACCATGTTAAACTGTGCAGTCTAGTTTGAATAAGATGGCCACTCACATCAGCTCATCTAGCATCCCTCCCCCAACAGCCCAAACCCGTCGGATCTGTTCTTTTCCTGAGCCTGCTGTTAGATGAGAATTAAAACGACATGTAGTCGATTCAATGACTTAGGCAAAGTTTATTAAGTTGGTACAACAAAAACAGTGAAAAAAACTTCTCGGTTTTCCTTTTATTTTTGAAGTAATTTTCTGCAGGGGAAAATTTACCAGTATCCTTACTTCCTTATCCTTATCCTTACTAATAATATAAATGCGAAAATGAGTTTGTTTGCTTGTTACGCTTTCACGCTTTAACTACTCAACCGATCGTCATACAATTTTGCACACTGGTCTCATTTAGAATAACTTAATAATATAGTGTAGACTTTATCTCCATTAGACAAAGGGGTGTGGCACCTTCCATTCAAACGGAAATTTTCGCACTACATATCTCTGACAATATTTGTGATATAGTATTGGAACTTGGTATGGAAATATATATGTGTGTAAAATCGTTTCCATTCTAATGGCGGAGGGCTGCCACCTGTTTGAAAAAATCAAATTTAACTTAAAATAAGGGAATCATTTATTTGAAATGTTAATTACAATATCGTAGTAAGACGAAGGAGGCTTTAAAAAAGTTGTAGATTGAAAATATTTTGAAAGGCGTTACCACCTGTTTGCAAATTCGAATTTAAATTAATTATTTGCAATCTAGAAAATTTAGATATGGGAGCCAAAACAAAGGTTGTTAAGAAACCTTTAGTTTGAACACTTAGAATATTATTGAGCTGTTTTACAAGGGTTGCCACATAATTAAAACATAAATTTAATTAATTTAATTTAATTATTACAACATGGGTATCAATCGAAATGGGTTTAAAAAGGGTATATTTGTAAACTATATGCAGGAGGGTTGTCACCCCTTTGAAAAATCTGCGTTTACATGAATTAAAGGAATTAGGTAACTGGAATGTGTATCATAAATTATTTATTAATTTTAATTAAATATTACAATGTGGGTATCAATTTAATTAGTTTTTAAAAGAATTCATTTCTAAACTACAAGTAAGAGGGTTGCTACCTGTTTAAAAAGTCTAATTGGGCTTGAATTCAGGGAGCAAAGCAATGGAAATTTAGTTTGACAATATTGTGAAGAGGGTTTAAAATATTTCAAAGTCTCCTATGTTTTTGACCGTTTTGAAGTATGTTGAGTTTTATTGAAATTAATTGTACTCGTCAGCGAAGCGGGTGATCGCAATCTATTCAGATATAAAATTAATACTACATTTCTAGTTTAATTTCCAAAAAAAATTAATATTCGGAAATTTTATATTATGGTGTACAGTACACAAACTACTTCAAAATCCTGCTTATTCGATTGCACAAAACCGATTTAGTTGGTATTCGAAAAACAAAGGTTTCAAAACAAATGTCTAAAAATATTTAAAAAAAAAAAACGGTTGAAACCGGTTTGGAAAAACCGATTCGAACCACCCCAATACATACGCATACATATTTGTTTATTAGCATACTTATTGGAAAATATAATACATATAGACACTTACATAACAACGTGCCAAGTCCGCCACAGTGCCACACTCCCTTTCAGCCAATAAAAATTCCATAATTTTATTCCGCTTTGCATTGCGTTGACTAACAAACTCTTCAATTTTCCAGGGAGCCATTGAAATCGTCCAGCTCATGTTCAGCATGCAACCATCGGAGAAGCTCACTTGCCTCAGTTGCACCGATGTGCAAAAGATGACGCCCCTTCACTGCGCCGCCATGTTCGATCACCCGGACATTGTTGAGTATCTGGTGACGGAGGGTGCTGACATAAACGCGCTAGACAAGGAACATCGCTCACCGATCTTGCTGGCAGCATCGCGTAGTGGCTGGAAAACTGTGCATCTGCTTATACGTCTTGGTGCTAGCATCAATGTAAAGGATGCATCGTCACGTAATGTTTTGCATTTTGTGATTATGAATGGTGGCCGTTTGCCGGAATTTGCCGAAGAGGTGAACAAAAAGCAATCGCATTCTCAACTATTGCAGTTGCTTAACGAAAAGGACGCATCTGGCTGCTCTCCATTACACTACGCCAGCCGTGATGGTCACATACGCTCGCTAGAGAATCTTATACGGTTGGGCGCTTGCATTAACCTCAAAAATAACAACAACGAAAGTCCATTACACTTTGCTGCTCGCTATGGTCGCTTTAATACCGTTAAACAGCTGCTCGATTCGGAGAAGGGCTCTTTTATAATCAACGAAAGTGATGGCGAAGGACTCACACCGCTACATATCGCCTCGCATCAGGGTCACACGCGTGTGGTACAGTTATTGCTGAATAGAGGCGCGCTTTTGCATCGAGATCATAATGGACGTAATCCTCTACATTTGGCCGCAATGTCGGGCTACACACAGACCATTGAGTTGTTGCATTCCGTGCACTCACATCTGCTCGATCAGGTGGACAAGGATGGAGTGAGTATGGCTGGAAAATAATTTTAAAGTAGAAAGTTTATGTGGGCCTTGTTTAGTGAATGCTTATGTCACAATTTCCTTTTGATATATGGACCGAAAAGCCGAGGTTCTTGAAGCCTAATATGTGCTGTATCGATAGAAGAGTAAACTTTGGTATTTAGAGTTTCTATAGGGTTGCCACCTGTCTAAAAAAAATATACGATCCGCACCATTCGTTAGATTACAAAAATTTAGATGTCAAATGAAAGCGATTAGCCTCAATATAAGCATTAATGTTTTATTTATTTATTTTTTTTAGTAGGGTTACTACCTATTTATTAAGAAAATTACTATAATTAAATTTTTTTTATAGCAGCATACATGCTAAAGCAGCATACTTTGTGGCGCAATTGCAGTCGCAATAGTGATGCACTAAATTTTGAGACTTCGTTAGAATAGATGGTGCAATAACGTATTATTTTTTTGAGAAGGGTTGCCCCCTGTTTAAAAATTACTGTTCGTTGGATAACAAAATGAGGCACCAAATGAAAAGGTATGGCCTTCGCATGTACAAAAAATGTTATTATTTTGAGTAGGGTTGCCACCTATTTACAAATTTTGTTTAATATAGTTTGTATCATTATCTTTAGTGCTTAGAATTTCTATAGGGTCCTGCCACCTGTCTAAAAAATTATAAGATCCACACCGTTCGTTGCATTAAAAATGTGGAATGCCAAATGAAAGGGTTTGGCCATTAGGTGCGCAATAATGCTTTGTTTTTTGAATAGGGTTACCAGCTGCTTTCTTCAAATACAGCTAGTATGCATATATCCAGTGTTCAGCCGTCGGAGAGAATCATTTTGAGATACCTATTTTAAGGAATAGCTTGCTGTTGGGAATTACTTCTTACTTAACATTATTTTTTTTATTACATTAGGAACGTCATATTGGGATGTGTGTCAAGAGAGTCGACACTTTATGTTGCCTAGTAAAAGAGAACTAACTCAGTCAGAGCGTTTTTACATCTAGACTAAATTTATTTTAACCAGGTAACTAGCGAAGCGATAGAGGTCGCTAATAGATCGTATAATATGTGGGTGTACTTACCCTGAACGGACGATTTTGCAGTTCTGTAGACGCAAATACTTTCTGGCCATCCACTGTTAGGCGCTGCAACAGATTATTAATTATTATAACCCTTAGGAGCAAAGAGAGGACTCCCGTCTGTGGGGTGCCCCTGTTGACTCTGCACCCTCTAGTTTCGTAGTACGTTGCTAAAAGCCTCCGTAATGTGGATCTACTTTTAAAGTGGAGGTACTGTCCCTGAAATAGAAGGGTTAGTTCCTGGCGGAATTATACCAGGAGAAGCAATTAGAGCGAGAAGAAAGATTTTGACACTGCCTTATTTGGAAAATTGCCTTTAAAATTTGATTAAAACGCAACCGAATGTCAGTAAATAAAGTGAGGAAGCTGTTTTAGTATTTCACCTGTTTATTGCGCCATGGGTTAGTTCCATAGAGAGAAAATATCTCCTCGCCCAAGAGAATCATTTAGCTAATTTTGCTAAATTTTTCTTAACATATTTTCTCGTTTTCAGAATACCGCCCTACATCTGGCAACCATGGAGAATAAACCGCATGCCATATCGGTGCTGCTTTCGATGGGATGCAAACTATTTTACAACTATATGGATATGAGTGCCATCGATTATGCTATCTACTACAAATATCCCGAATCCGCACTCGCCATGGTCACACATGAGGAACGCGCTAACGAGGTAATGGCATTGCGTTCCGACAAATATCCTTGCGTTATACTGGCATTAATTGCTTCAATGCCCAAAGTGTTCGAGGCTGTGTTGGATAAGTGCATAACCAAAGCGAACTGCAAACGCGATTCAAAGAGCTTTTACGTAAGTTTTCGATTTTAAAATATTCTCTACAACTTTTTCAAATTACTGAGGCGCTTAATTTTTTACTATTTAAACAATTTAAAATATTCGTAAGATATAAAAAATTTGCTACGTTTTTTACATATAATGCAGATTAAGTACTCGTTTTCCTTTCTGCAATGCCCATTCATGTACGCGAAATTGGATGAGAAAACCGGTGAATCGATAGTTCATTCGAATCCGACACCGTTGCCGGCGTTAAACGTAAGCAGAGCATGTGCCAACAACTATACTAGGATACTTTTGCCTGATTGCCTGCCTACCAGTCTGCCTCTATATCCACTTGCCTGCGGCATGTTTATTGCAACTTTTTTACTTCCCGTGTTTCGCCTTTATGATTTATTGCCTGCAATTTTACAACAACCTACATACTTATATCCCTAAGCTTTTTAAATAAGAGTAATTAAATTACAAATGCATGGCTACAATTTTACTTAGCTTTCTTAGTTTTATGATTAAAAGTACTTTAAAAAGTTCCAACATAGATGTACGGACCAAATTATAACGGTTGAAGGATCAAATTACAAAATGTTTGTCATTATCAATTTTATTAGCGAAGCAAGTACATTTCAAAAGATTTAACCCAAAGCAACCGATTATTATTATTTTTTTTTTCATAAGTCACAAACACTTTAAAATTTACAATAAAATCTTAAGAAATTCAAGTTCGATAGGAAAAATTAACAGCCCTAATTATTGTGGTAAAAAAAGAGTTTTCGAACATCTTCACCACGCTCGACAAAAAATGGTGCTTGACGACATCAATGCTGGGGTGGACAAAGTGTGTTCGGTCCCACAGTTAATAAGTTCAACTTCCATTATGAATCCTGCGGTAATACACTGAGACCGATCGACGTCACCAAGACCCTGCCTGTTGGTCTAGATCTCAGTAAAATAAAATCAGACAGTCCGCGCTACTGTCTCTAAATCGAAAAACTAGATTTTTAATCGGTTATGTTGTATTCAGGAGATAACACTCATCCAGTGTTTTAGAGAGATATTTCAACAATCCGAGGACCTAATTACTTGTCTACAGACTTGGACTAATTTTCCCATTCCGTCACGTTCAATAAACACTTCCGAGAGAGCATAGCTTTGTGAGGAATTCGATAATGTTTCTCCCTCCGTATGTTCCGCCCAAGATGAACTCGTATTTCGCCGATAGGAATTGCATTCGAGAATTATACCAGAAGATGCACAAATTTGGAGAAGGTTTAAGAACCTCACCTGATGATTGATGTCCACAGCACGGTTAAATTTTGACAAGATGGTATTGACCTGAATCCCGCAATTGATAATGACTGAATCGATGCTCCGTTACGCGAGCAAAAAAATAGAATGAGCTGAGCTGTTGTGGTTCATGCGCCTTTAAGTGTAATTTTCCCGATCCGCAAAAAGGATCTGCAGTTCTTTAAGTCTCTTAAACAGCCGTTCCGTCGAATATGCCAACTTCCACGGGGCTAGCTAGTGAAAGACTTACACCCACCGTAAAGAAAATTATTGTACCTTATCAATTTATTCATTAATTTCTGTCTGGGCTTCTTATAGAGAAATTGTTGTCTAAATACAGTGGAGCAGTGGTATAATCCAGTTATCGAAGGTTATTTGGTAGAGTTTCAAGGACCTTTGCGTGTCTGAATCTGAGGTATCTCCATGGCTGGATCGCATTCAACTTTGCCGCACTACAGCTGGCCCTAAATTTGGCGGTGGCAGATTTACATCCAGTGGTAACCAGTATATGGTTTTATTTTCCATTTTCCCTATAGCCGTCTCACAGGCATACAAGCCAGTACCGCGGCTTTCTTGGTGCGGTCTTCGATATTTTGCTTCCATTCAAGTTTATTGTCTATTATAATTCCAAAGTATTGGACCTCGGTTGAGTGAGTAATTTCTATCTCCCTCCTGGTTTGATTAGAGGCATTTTATACTTGGACCATCTCGATTTTGGCAGGACTGACGCTAACTCCACATTACTTAGAGCAGATGTTTACAAGGCGGAGTGCGTTTTGTAATAATTCACTCAGGACTTGTGGCAGTGTTTCCAGGTCATTGAAGTGAGAAATCGTCAGTTTGGCTCTCAAAAATCGTCAACATATAAAACATTTTTATAAACAGAACCAGGAAGCTCTTAGTTTTTGTTTTATTTTATTGCAGCTTCTGATTGCTATACGAATTTTTAAAATTCAGATTTTCATCTTCATTTTTTTTTCCAACTGCAACTTAACGATGTACATTAAAAACTGTTCATACATACAAGTTTTGCTAAAGAACTTATTCATAATTCCCTTCGCTCAATAAAATAGAGTGGAGAGAACACTCCAGGGCAGTGCCGCTCATCACGTGTTTAGTTGCGGAGCCGCCCCCTAGTTCTGTTATAACTGTTCTCTTTTCGAAAAGGAGCCCAACAAAATCCACCAGTCGCGGTTGCACACCACCATAAAAAGTTAATTAACAACAGACCCCAGACAGACATTGTTGAAGCTCTCTCGATCACGACAAAAATCCGAGCGTGTATTCCTTAATGGCCAATACACGGATTATGCAAAGAGAGGGTTGCCATTTTTATATGTTCCACTAAATATATTCATCAATAAGCCTCTCTAGAGTTTTTAGAAAGAATGAAGTGTGGTTATAGGCCTGAAATCTTTAGGTTTCATTGGGGCGACCCTGCCCACTCGTATGATAGACGAGTTAGGATTCGGTAGACTGTAAAAATCTGAGAAAGCAGAGGGCACAGTATGTCCATAGCGAGAAAGATTACGTCAATTCCCTGAAGTACATTATAGCCCATTACAACCTATCATAACTTACGATGTCCCTTAGTGTATTAGGGATAAGCGGGACCTAGGACCGGGCGAAGTGTCCGGGGTGTCAAAGCAGCCCATGGAAAGAGTGCTCATCGGGATGTCCAACATTTCATTACATAACGATATCAAGTCACCGTTGGATCGATTTCATATTCGAAGAAGAAGATTTTGGCAGAACTTTTCACAGCCTACTGGCTTCAGAGTTTTCAAAGGAGGTGAAGAAAATATAGCCAGATTAACAGCCAAGGGCACTGAACATTTGCCACTTGGTGAACATGCAGCTAAAATGGGTCTAACCCTTGATGTCGTAGCACGTAGAAGGCATTAAGTACTTGTAAATTTCTGTATACAAAATCTTATGGAGATTTATGGAGATTTCTTACGATTATATTCAGATATTTTAAGAATCCCAAGATTGGAAAACTTTAATTTTAAAATACATTAGTATAGGTTACCATTTTAGTTTTAGTGTAACGAAGCTTAACTACTCAAACATTTACGCATAAGCTCTGATTAAATTTCAGATAAAATATTCATTTCATCCATTCCAAAAATCCCCTGCTGAAATTGCAAAAAAACGATTGACACTCAATGATCCCAATTGGAGACCAGATCCATTGCTCACCATAAATGTGAGTTTTTTTTTATAGGAATTATTCCTACATTCCTATACTAGGCGACGATTGAAAGTTTACACTGCAATTTTATTGTCAATTTATTGTCTAAAAACGTCTATTGTTTGCTGGTTGCTCTAATCGAGCTACGTACTTACATATCGTTATGATTATATAGAAAGGCCTTATCTCACAGCGTCGCTGACTAGCTAAAACGAATTTTAAATTTATTTTGTGAGATAGAGCCTTTCTATATTAAGGCAACGATATGTACATATATATGTACTTCGAATCTATCACAAGCTGCTGCTTTAATATAACATTTCTAAGCACAAGACTTTCTCGTGCACCCTAATACGGTGTTTACATGGCGCGATTTTATAGCCAACTTTTGGTTGAAAGCAACAATGGCCTGGTGTACCGGAATTTTTGTCGCAATGAAAAGTACTTAAGTATGAATGTATTTGTGAAATATTTTAGGCAGCCTAGATTAGAAAATAACTATTCTATATCTTCTTACCCTAAAATATTAAACTAAAATATTTAAAAAAAAAAAATTTATGATATGCAACTCTTTATGTATTATAATTACTTTCATATTATTCTTTTGAAAATGAAGAGCTTTCATGCAACTGTAAACTTTGATTCGTCGCCTGCTTACTACAATACTTAATTTTAATAAGTAATAAAAATTCTATGCTGTGAATTGTTATTTAAGTTGACTGTAATATTTCTTACTACAAAATACATAATAAATTGTTCAACCTCCTTCAAGAAGTATATGTACTAAATATCTATGTTGTGTAATTGTTCTCTTTGTCAATACATAAAACATATACCTATATGTACATATTTACTTGCCTATAAAATAATAATATACATATTTACATTCCTGCATACATATGTACATACGTATTAGTAAATACATATGTACATACAAACAGATCATGACTGCATTCAAAAATTGATCTAACATCAAACATGGAAATGTTGGGCCGACATATTGAATAATTCAGAAAAAGGCCCAGCCGGCCCTCTCTTTACTCCAAAAGAGTTTAGTTACGTCAACTAAGTAAATACCCTATAATCATTTTGGCGAACGTTCAAAAATTACCTTCGATATCCTATAAGCATATCGAACTAAGAACGAACTCATAACCAATAATTAATTATAGTATATTGGAAATACACTCGAGATGGGTTCTAAAAAAAAATTAAAACCATGATAAAAACATAGTAAGGTAAAACCGTTCTCTCAATTCGTTGGCCATGATTTTTTGTTGAAGTTTGATAACATTTTAAAATCATATAAAATTGAGAGTAAAAAAAGGAATTGTTCAAAGTTGTTGTTGTTTGAGACTGAAAATTAGAATGTGTGTGCGAGTTTGTATTTCAAATTTTAAAAATGGATTGCTTGCAAACGTCAAGAATTTGGAAAATTCCTCTCAGCGGTTCTACCTTCCTATTTTTTTATCATGATTAAAACCATAGCAACAAGAGAGAAAGTGAAATCTAGCTCATTCTCGAAGGGAAATATTAGAAAATCACTCTCTCTCATTAAATTTAAATTCGATAATGGCCTGGATCTCGAATTTTTAACGAAGGAAAAATACATTGGTTTTGCTGAATAATGGCCTAGGTCTCGAATCGAATACTAACCTATTCCACATTAGTTATCGAAGGTGAGACTGGAAAAAAGATTTGTTTTCCAATCATTTTCGAATTGTTAATCAATTGTTTATTGGGTATGAATATTTCTCTCAAAACAAGATTTAGTAAGTAAGTATAACCAGTGCTGCCAGCCCTAGCAGGGCAAGTTTGATGTCGAATTCAAAAAGCAAAATTCCACTTTCACCTGTGAAGATATGAAAACTAAATTTGAACCAGTCTACGCTTTTTTACCTCGCTTTTATTAGCTTGGGATGTACGAACGAGAATTGTTTTGAAGTTCCATTTTAAAGTTACCTGATGACAGTAAGAATGAAAATTCCAACGATTGATTTCGCGTGTTATTCTACTCGTTATATACATAATACGTTTAATTAAAATCAATTTAAGGCTGGGTTTCAGTCTCCTCTTAATTTTTGCAGCATCTGCAGAAGTCTTAATGAGGAGATTACCCTCTCAGCGAGCCTCCTGTTGGCTCCGACAGTTTTTCGTTCCATTTTAGTCTCGTTTCCTATTGCGTGGTGATACTAGCCCAACTATTACTTGCTAGTTTAAGAGATAGATCACTTAGAATGAGCTTGAAGGGGTAACGAGGGGTATGCCTAAACCCTTCCAGGATGGAACGGATGTGCCCTCTCGTGCAAGTTCATCCGCCTTTTCGTTGCCTTGCATGTTCCGTTGCCAGCTATGTCGATATTCTTTAGGATTGCGGTATGGTCATCCTGAGTGTCTCTGCAGTAAATAAATACTTTTCGAAATTCTAAGTTTTTCCAGGCTTGGCGAAAGTACTTTTCTTGTCAAGTCTGGCCGCACTTTAATGTTGTATATAACTGCAAGTCCTAATAATTCTGGCTAAATATTATTATTATTCACAATAGGGATATTCACCAAATTGAACAAGTGATCTGGCACAAGAGCAAGAGGCAAGTTTTTTCAAAGTTGTTACTTGAGCTAATCAGCTCTTTTGCCCGAGTGCCAGGTCGCTTGCTCAATTTGGTGAATACCCCCAATATTTTTTTTTTTTTTTGAGTGCATTTATAGTATATGGTTCGACGTTTTTCACTATTCCACAATATTCTATGTATATAAGTTATGTAAGTAGGATATTGGCAATACATAATATTATAGGTTCTTTCATAATTTCGCAACCGTTTTGAAAGTGTTTGTCTGTATTTACTTAGTTAGGTACAAATGTCCATACAAAAGTAAAAGTTTTGGATTTAAATACATCTTTTTCGAGTTTTCGATTTGAATACATTTTTGCTTTCTGTGCCTTTTGTAAAATGTTATGAAAATCTGAATTTTTCATTTTAAATTTTTTCGTCCTTTACGTTGATGTTCTATCACTGTTTATTCCGTTGTTCTATGTAATTCTTTCTTTATCTTGTGTCAATATCCACATATATTTATGTCGTTAAACCTGTCTTAAGCAGGGATCACACGATTTGTACATTTTCACGGCAACAGAGAGGTGTTGTTTGGAAAGTTCTTGTTGAACTGAACTCATTCTTGGCAAAAATTTCTAGACAATACCACTCTGTGGCTGCCAAATGTGCAAATGTACAAATCGTGTGACCCCTGGTTTATTCTTTTCATATAAATGCATACACTTTTCCTTGTGAATTAATTTCAATTATATGCTATGTATTTGCATACATCCAGACGATGGTGACCCATGGACGTGTCGAGCTGCTCGCCCATCCACTCAGTCAAAAGTATTTACAAATGAAATGGAATTCATACGGCAAATATTTTCATCTTGCCAACTTGCTGATCTATTCCATATTCCTGCTGTTTGTCACCGTTTTTTCATCGCTGATGATGAACGGCATCGAAATTCGCCCTTTGTCGATAAATTCGTCCATTGTGGACAACTGGAATGTTTCGCTGACGAATGACACGATTTTAGAGTAAGTTTGAGAAAACATCTCTAATTTAGACTAAGTATTTTTCGTACCAAGAAAAACTATTCAAAAATTATATTTTTGTTTCTCCCAAACAGTGACCAGAAGAATCTCAGCAACACCGATTGGTCACAAAATCCAGCCGGTGGTGGAGAATCTTTTGCTATGAAATATGGCGAGACCTATGAGTGCCTACATCATTCCACCGCCTTGGTATTCTGCGCTATAGCTATCGTCGTTTATATAGCCTGCAATTCTTTGCGTGAAATTTTACAAATGTACCAACAACGGTTACACTATATCTTCGAAATAGTCAATTTAATATCTTGGGTTCTACATATATCCGCCTTGATCATGGTGTGGCCTGTATTTTGTTCGGATGGCAATATATCGACTGTGCACTACTCGGCTGCGGCGGTAGCGGTATTTTTATCATGGTTCCGTCTACTCCTCTTTCTACAGCGTTTCGATCAAGTAATTTGTGTATTGAGAATACCAAACTTTCGAGGAATAAAATTAAATTTGTTTATTTTTTTTCACCAGGTTGGCATATACGTTGTAATGTTTTTGGAGATACTACAAACTCTGATAAAAGTATTGATCGTATTTTCGATACTTATCATCGCATTCGGCTTGGCATTTTACATTCTTCTATCGAAGGTAATATCAGTTATAATTAAAAATGTTAATCACGCAAAAATTTAGCAAAGTAGTGAACTAAATTTTATACACTAATACACCTTGCCACTTCTCAATTTATGAAGTGTGGTATTTATGCCGTTTCACAGATTAACGACGCTCAACCGAATCATTTATCATTCTCTAATATACCGATGTCGCTGTTGCGCACTTTTTCAATGATGTTAGGCGAACTCGACTTTGTTGGTACTTACGTCAACACCTACTACCGTGATCAGCTGAAAGTACCAATAACATCATTCCTGATTTTAAGTAAGTATTGTTGACAATTTTGAAGTAAAAATACAGTGCACATTCGTACTATGTATGTACATGGAGCGTTCCATACCAAAACGGACGGGGTTCACACTTCATGTGTTTGATTTGTTTCACATTTTTAGGGTTGATGCATAAACATAAATAATAAATAAATATGAAATTTGAGCTTGATCAATACATTTTTGAAAACGTTACAGCGCAAAAACAAAAACAAATCGATTTAATAGTTTTCCAAATATCTAGTGAACGGGGCGAGGAAAAAATTTGAAAAAAATCACACATACATACATCAAAATTATTTTAAAATTTTTTCTTTACAAATTTTTCACACAAATTTTTTTATAAAAAAAATAGTTTTTGAAAATATGCCATCTCAAAAAAAATCGAAAAAATTCACAATGATAGCTCCCTGCAAAAACGTCAGACGGTTTGTTTACATGCCATTGGTATAACACTGATTTGGCTGAATAATAATTAAAATCTATACAATTAAAATTTAAGAATTAAGAAATCAAATAAATATTTCGTTGTTTACTTTCATTTTTTAACAAATGCAAGATTCTTTGCTTTCGCCGCGTTCTGTTTTTGTCAACAAATGCAACCCTGCCAATCGTTTAACACGCTTCAGGAATTTTCAGGAAGAAAAACTCCGCACAAAATCCTGTAACTTCTGACTAGGAAATATTCTAAAAGGATCCCTGATTTTTTGCAGCCTTCTCTGCTGTGAATTGGAAAATAGGTAGAGCCTTTACACAGGAAAGTACATAGATGGCATACACATCAAGTCATGCTAGTTATATCACAATGAGCCTTCTGGCAGAAGAGACACTTTCTACATTCACTATGTACAGTAGCAGTCAGCGTAACTTAACCTAATCTATGCACTTTGCGGAATTTTACCAATTTTTGTCGACAAAAATTAGTTATGATCAAACTAGTAGATTATTTAAAACACATGATTTTTTTGTTGATTGGCATACAATTTCCCACATTTTCCCCAAAAAAAATATCTTAACCCTTGACGACCGATGGGTCAAAATGGGTAACTTTTTAATTTGTAGTTTAATTGAAATAGTTTGAGTGCAAAGTCAAATCAACAATGTTGTCAACATACAAAATGATTGGCGGACCGATTCTAAATTATGCTGACACATTTGGCGGAGCTATAAACCTGACAGAATACCGTACTACAGACCGCAATAAGTTGCCTTCAAATGTCGTCTGAACAAAATATGCTACCGCTAGGCCCATCGAAACATTGGCTTGCTCGAAGCGCAGTTCTGCACATCGGGACCCATCAAGATGTAACTCTTCGTACTCAAATTCGACATATAAACTTAAGTCGCACAACCACTGAACATGAGTTATGTCCTTGACCTGAGGATACTTGCAGAATTCCGTCCAATATTTAGTTGGTATTACTGGCGTGCTTGAAAATCGCTTCCCACACATTTAGAGCCGATTCTTAAAACTACTGTGACTACGGTGACCATAAGTATGGATTGAAAATGCAAGACAATTTTTTCAAAAATATACCTATCTAGTACACAAATAACTAAACAGTATATGTATATGTATGTATAATTCTAAATTCTTAATCCATTTTAACTTCAAACATCAATCACGTTTTCTTCATTGGAATTAATCTTTTTTTAAATAAATATTTATAAAAGTATTATATATATTATTATAAATAATTACAAGAGCTTATACGAAAAGTGAACATCTTTAAAAGATTATTTTATCAGCAATCTTTGAGTTGTTCAACACGAAAACAATACCCGTTTTTTTCAAAGAAGCGTTTTCGAATTTTTTTTTTGAAAACCATTTTTTTTCTTGGTATTTTTCGCAGTTATTTGTCAAAAATCGGCATGATGAATCGACGAAACGATCTACAGTTGCAAAGGTATTTATGTGCCTTTTACAATAATATGTAATAAGGCGCTTCATAGCATCTACAGTTTTAATCCGATTTTTATTATCTTAGGCTCAAAATTTATTGTAATGATATACCTTTTTTATCGAATTTTAAAAATAATGAAAAAAATAATCAAATAAAACTGTACAGTTCATTTAAAATCCCACTTTTTCGACTTTGACGGCAAAATGCAAAATGGTAGCACTAATAATTTTCATTAAAATCGGCCCAACTTATATATTTTGGTAAGATGCACATCAATACCTTTCGAATTGTAAGTCGCTCACGTTGATTGGGAGATTTGTTCATGACATATTGAAGAAAAGCTTCGAAAACTACCAAAAAAAAAACACTTTTTTGATAAAATCCATCCATGTCCGTAAATTATAAAATATCGAATAAAATGCGAGACAAAAGCAGGTTACTTGGAAGAAATAAGTACATCTTCAGGTTTTTCTGTTTTGAAAAACTACGCAGGACTGACCTTTGAATAACAGTACGGTCCTGCAAAAAACAGAACGGTTGGTCACCGTAACTATGACCGAATATTAATCCAGCTATGTTTGATCACTGTATACTGTGGGTTTGATAAAGTTACATACTGCAAACGATTACTCAATATGAACGAAAGAAACATAATTGTTTCAGATGGCTTTAAAAGCGGTAGACATTGTGGAAAGTGGGGTCACATTTAAAATCAATTTGCATACATACATACATAAGTAGGAGTAATCTAAAATAATGCTAATATGTTAATTGTATTTGCCAGATTGAAATCAAAATTATTTAATTACTTACTTATTCTAAACCTTCTTTCAGGTGTATTCATGATTCTTATGCCGATTCTGCTAATGAATCTACTCATCGGTTTGGCGGTTGGCGATATTGAGTCTGTCAGGCGTAATGCTCAGTTGAAGCGTTTAGCTATGCAGGTAATGTAACATAACATCAATATATCGACATTTTTTTTTTTATTGAAAAGTAAAAAACACTATTATAATTGAAGGTGGTTTTGCATACTGAACTGGAGCGTAAATTGCCCCACATGTGGCTACAGAAGATCGATAAAATGGAGCTGATCGAATATCCTAATGATACGAAGTGCAAAATCGGTTTCCTCGATTTTATTTTGCGTAAATGGTTCTCAAATCCATTCAGTGAGGATAGTAAGTACATTATGATGATTGTTTCAAAGAATTTTTTGGTACATATTTGGGGCTTACAAGACATTTTCAATTTCGAAAAAAAATATATATATTTTTGGCCTTTTTACATTTTTCATCATTTGTTCGGCATTTATAGTCGGATCTTAAAGTATGATACACAAATATTGTGAAAATTAGAAAACACTGAACTGGAACACACATCTCACAACCCACAAAGTAAAAGTGCACGCTATAATTTTGAAATCAGTACCGTTGGTCCCGATTTCTCGCGCCCATCTGGGCTCGGATGACTAAACTTCCTAAAAATGGCGAAGATATGTGTCTTTCCATCTGCCTTTTGGTATACCAATTAGATGAACTTTGAACGCGTTTTCCCACTAAATTTAAATTTTTAAATAATTCTGTATATTATTAAACGTGCGATATGTTTAAGTAAAAAAATATATATATATAATCCAAGAGATTTATAACCTGCTCTCACGGAATCTCTGAGCAAAAAACCTTAGCCGTGAGGACATAATCAGACCGATTCTGAACAGAAACTCCCCGGGAGTTTTTCTCTTTTCCCTTTCCTTCTATCACGAATAAAAATTCCCTGAGATTTTTTTAATTTTAAATGGCGGAGTTAAGCTGTCAAAAAAGTGTCAAACAGCTCTTTCGTAGTTCGAATTTCCCCTTCCCAAATTTTCGGAAAAAAAACTACTCCCTGGGAGTTAATTATGGGAGGATTTCTTTCTCGGGAGAAACAAATTCCCGGAGAATCCCAGTGTAGATTACTACGAGGAATTTGTTAGAATAGTTGAGATCTCATCCAAATTTAAGTAGTGTACTTTGGCGGCTTTCTTTGACACAGATTTACTAACGTCCATATAGAAGTTAGAGTCGAGGAGTGTGCCTGCTCATGGTTAGTGACGCAGATGCAGTGCACGGACTTTACCACTTTATTGGTAGATCTACCAAATTTTTAGCTATAATATATTCTCTACCATTTTTACCAACAAACGCTTGAAATCTACCAATATTTTCCTGAAAGAAAGCAAAGAGATTTAAATACATATTTTTCCATCGAAAAATTCATTGATTAAACCTAAAAATTCATATATGTACATGGAGTTTTAGACTCGCTGAACCCGAATTTTATGTCCGTTAAGCTCCATAATGGCAGTTTCAGGTCATTTTGGATGAAATAGAACCAAACATTTATTTAATAAAAAAAATAGTAATTTTTTTGTCACTGAATCCGAATATGGGGACCCTGATGCCTCAATTTCATCTAGGGGTCATTCCAAGGTCATCCCAACGTTAAATTCAGAAGACTTGTATTGAATTTTCAGGTTTATTCAATGAATTTTTCCCTACTTGACCTTTAACTGACCACACATTTGACGTGATGGAGGCTAACGGACCTCGAATTCGCATTCAGATTTTTCGATTCAAATTGAACAAAAGAAAAACAGCTGTCATTTTATTTCATTCGCTTCAAATCGAGTTTCATTCGATAATGGATGCCGAGATTCGGGCCCAGTTTTATGTAAAGGTTTTTTGTTGAATATATTATTTACGTGGAATACATTTTTGTTGTTTTGTGTAAAAAATACAATTTATCCCAAGGTGAATTCATATTAGGGGATAGCAGGAGTACAAAAACCAAAAATACACTAAAAAAATTTACGCACAGTGCCCGTAAGAATTACAGAATCACTTTGATAACTTTGAAGAACCACCGAGTCCAAAATCCATCTGCTCTGGTAACACAATTTTTTATGAATTCGCAATGTTTTATCCTAATGAGTAAAAACTATCGGATATTGTTTCTTTTAAAAAACCTACCAACTTCTAAGATTTTTTGTAAGCAAAATGTACCAATATTAATTTTTTCGAAAGCAGATCACTGCGCAGATGTGCAGCAGAGAGAGAGCTCAAAAGAAATACGCGTATAACTGTATTTGAATACAACTAATACCAGATTAGATTTTGTGCCATTTTATTAAAATACCACTTCATTATTTCCACAGCTTCTTTGGACACAATCGCATTTGAAAGCAACGATGATTTCATAAATAGTGAGCTGGAGCGTCAGCGGCGTAAGTTGCGGGATATCACCCGTCTATTGGACCAACAACATCAGCTTTTGCGATTGATAGTGCAGGTATGTACAATCTATAATATGTTAAAAAAAAAATAGATTCAAAAGAACAGAACTGAAAACCATATTTTTTCAAGCGTTTAGCGCTTTTCAGGCTTTCAGTGCTTTATTCAGCAATGAGTTTTATAAGCTGAAATCAGTGTTCAAATATTTTTGAACATGAATACATACAGTGACGAACAAAAGTATTGGCACAGCGAATTTTTCGCAATATATACAAACTTCTTTATTCCAATTTATTTTCGATAATTTTTTATAAAAATATAGTTCGTTCTACACCAGAAAAAATAATAATAAAATCTCTAAACTTTGTGCAAAACTCAGGAAAATTCATTAAATTTGCACAATAATTTTCCACTTTTTATTCAGATTTTTTAGAAAAATTCTAGGTATGCAATGTTATAGCCCATTCAAATTTAGTACAACAAAATGCAAGTTTGAAGTCGCTAGAAAATCGCGTTGATTTTTGGTAATTTTTTTCACGCAAGTTCTTCCATACGAAGTATATTCGACAATTATTTTTTGTATGGAGAAAATGAGCAAATATCGATATTAGCGATTGGGTGTTTTAAAACTTTTTTTGTAGGAAATTGCATGGCCAACCAGTTTGTCAATTTTTCTGTAGATCTTGTTATTCATGAGATAGGACAAAAAACGGGAATTTCAGGAATATATTTTGTTTAGTGACCCGTACTAACTTGCTGGTGAGAGTAATACCATGTCCCCACCAAAAAGTTAACAATCTCAAATCGAACTTAACCACATCACTAACTATTACTATCCAAACTGCGGTTTGAGATTTATAAAACAGTACAAATGTAGAGAACAGTGTTCGGACTCTTAACATTTGATTCAGTAGTAAATCGCTTTAAAAATCGGAGCAAAAGCAAATTTTCCGTACCAGATTTGCATTTTTTTCCGCTTTCGACATTAATTGTATGACTTAAATATTTTCTATTCATGCAAAAATAAGAACGCGAGGCAATTTGTGGATAATATGTTACATATTTAGGTCTTATTATTTGGCGCTATACGCTAGTGTTTTACTCCGTCGGCCATTGCGACTGTTGGAGCGCCGCGACCAAAATGACATACTATTCCTTTCGCGGAGAATGAATTGGAAGACTATCCTGTCAACTGGAATGATGCTACTAGTATTTCTCGTTTGTTAGATGCTGAGATTTTTTTTTATGTAAATTTTATTAGAAATGTTAAAATATAGCCGTTAAAAATTTATAATAATTTACCACATTAATTTTTCTCATTTTAACCGACTTCAAAAAAAGGAGGAGGTTGTCTATTCGTCGGAATATTTTTTCATGTACATATGTTACCGCATAACCGATTTCGATAATTCTTTTTTAAAGCAAATGTGGTACCTTAGAGGTGGTCCCATCCGAATTTGGCTTAGATCCGATTATTGGATCATGAAAAAATTAACGGTAATCTTAAAGTTGTATATGATAATTGAAGTCGGTTTTGTTTTTTGCTAAAAAATTACTTGTTTATTTAAAAATGCAAATCGATAAATTGTTATAGTTATCATTTTTTATATTACTTATTACAGAAAATGGAAATCAAAACCGAGGCTGACGACGTGGATGAAGGTGTATCACCATACGATCTAAGAGCCGTATCGAATTATGGCAACGGGCCGGCAGCTGGGTCACGTTGGACCTCACCACGAATACGCAATCGCTTACGAGCTGCGCTCAGTTTCAATAAAAGTCTATGAAGAGATAGATACGCTGACTTAATTAGTTGAAGACAAAATATAAAATAAATATTATGCAAATATGTATTTACAAATGATATTTGCTTTACTTACTCGTACATATGTACATATGTATGTATGTTTGTACATGCATAAATTGTTTTAAGCAGAGACCATAACGGTTATGACTTTATAATAAAAAATTATAAATTAAATGTTAAAATTGGATTTTTATTTTTCCGATCCAATTTAACACGATTATAAATTAAATGCGAAAAGTTTCCATCGTTCGCTTATTTGCAAAAAAAAAAATGTGTTCTAAGTCAAAGGTCAAGGGTTGGTTATCTATAAAAACTGTTATAGCACTTTCGTCTTTAAGAGTTACCATTTCTGAGATATTGCGATTCAAAATTTTAGTAAAAGGTGGGTGTCCACTTATTTATATGTAAATCGTAAATTTTGATGGAAATTATTGTATGTATCTTTGCTTAAGTGCTCATAACTTCTATGTTTATTGTTCAATACAGATAAACAGTGAGAAAATTATGCGAAGCACAATACACGAATTACAAATTTAGTCATTCTCTTCTCTTTTTCATTGCATATTCATATTTTGTATTTAAATATTATTTTACAAGCATTTTTAACATCTCTGTTCTCTAATTAATTTATATTCACACCTCTGTCATCACTTTCAATGGTTCTATGTATTTTTGTTTTAAGCAATATCACCATGCGACTGTCAATTTTACATACAAAAAATCAATATATTCATGAAATAGTGAAACTGCGATTTTAGTTTTTCTCAAAAAAAAAAAAAAATTATTTAAAAAAAATTCAGTGCAATATAAAATAACAATTTGGGTATCAAATAAAAGAGAAAATTTTGTAGATTAAATTTTTTGGTGCACGCAGGCGAATAGACGTGGATAATGTCCTTTTAAAATTTTATACCTGAATATCTTTGAAAATTTTCAGTATTTATTTTGACCAATTTATCTGTTGATGATTAATATACACACGACCACATCCACAAATTTCGTCCTTCTATGGAAAATATGGGAAAGGTATGGAAAATAATCATTTTACTTTTAAATTTTAAGCTAAAAAATCTGCAAGTTCTAATCGTCGTAAAACAATATTAACTATACTTACGTATTTGTGTTCGTACGTCCTATTGTAATTTACAATGATTTTTTTATTCTTTGAGTTTAACCAATAAAGACTAAAGATAATAATTAGCATTTGAGTTTTATTTTTTCACTCAAGGGAAATTATTATTTTATGATTTTTATTTTTTAGCTCAAAGATAATATTTATTATTGAGTTTTAATTTTTCACTTAAGAATAGTGATTATTCAAAAAACTCCAAAGGATCGGTGTGATTTCCGACGTATCCTTTTCAGCGATAGCGAGACCCTAACAAAAGGAAATAAGTTCCAAAATTGTCAGGTCAAAATATCGGTTCTTTACGTTTTTACGACTGTTTTATAAATAATCATTATTTTTAAGTGGAAAAATCAAACTTATAAATAGTTATTATCTAAGAGTGAAAAAATAAAAATCACATATTAATTATTTCCGTTGAAAGAAAAAACAAAACTCAATAGTAATTATTATTTTTAAGCGAAAAAATTTAAATCATAAAATAATCGTTAAAAGCGTATTTAAACAATTTTACTCATAATGATTACAGTCCCTGCTTCTAACTTTATTAGCCTGAAAAAACTTAATTAATTGACAAGGTATTATCAACACGTATTCGTCCTTGTGTGCCAAAAAATTTTAATTATTTCTTTTTCATTTTTTTTTTTAATAATTTTTTAATCAATCTTTCTCTCAAATTTCCAAATGCTTTTAAAACAAGAGAGAAAAACTAACCCAGTTTTAAAACTTTTTGAATCGCTATATCTCAGAAATTTTAATTCTTAGGAACAAAAGTGTCACAAAACTTTTTGTAGATAATTGCATGATCTACTCCACAAAATAACGATTAAATTTAACCGAAAAAAATTTAAATCCAAATTTAACGATTTTTTATGGAAAAAAAATTTAAAATGGAAAATAATATTTAATGGTTATTTTGGGTGCCCGGTTTTAAGATAACTAAATGAACAAAGGATTTTAAAAACATTTGCACTAAAGAAGATAAATTGTACTTGTATATCTAATTTCTAGGTAAATTAAACAAAATCTATACATACATTTAAACGCTCCCAGATGATATAATTTTCCGGCTTTTCTAAAGTAAAAGTATGTTTGTAACTTAGCCAACTATACTCTAAAATCGAAGTATATGTATGTATGAATGCACACTTGCGGCCAGCTGATTAAGTTAATTGACATTTTGACCAGTTTTGGATATTTTTCTTTTGTTTATTTAATCTATTTTTTTTTTACTTTACTTTACGAGCTAAACGCAAAAATTTCAATCTTTTTATTCAGAATTTTTAGAAAAATTTTAGGTATGCAATTTTATAGCCCATTAAATTTTGTTAGAATGAAGTGCACATTTTAAGAAGCTAGAAAATCGCGTTGATTTTTAATAATTTTGTGGATTTTCTTTCACACTGAGTAAGCTCGAAAATTTCTTTTATATGGAAAAATATGCCTAGCTTGAAATTTGCACTTTACTAAAATTTAACTGGCTATAAAATACCCATTCTCAAGGAGACGATGGGAGTGAATGCATATTCTCATGAGAATTATTCTGATCGTTCACGACCCTCACATAGACATATTTAGAGTTTCATTAAGTACTTTAGGGCGATTTTTAGTTGAAGAAGTCGTCCTATGTTCCCACACCGAGCAACATTACTTCCCAAATAAGCAATTCTACCAAGACCCAATAGTAGTGAATCTGTGTGCTTTTCAGGGAGGGTTGAATTCCATGGTCTACCCTTCTAAATATTTCATTCGATGGCCACAGAGGCTGGGAAAATTTCTCTACAAAAAATATGCCTTTATATCCTTCAATCACTCCGATCTTCTGGTGAATCCATATAGCCTCCCCAGTGAGACTAGTAACCGTCTGTTCACGGCATCGAAGGAATTTTCCCTCAATATCTGAGCTCTTTCTTCGTAGTACGAGATATTCGCATTGGAAATACTTAAAGCATTATGCACCTACCTCACCTTTACAACCACCCCGGAAATGGCAGGCTTTGGTGCTAATAGTCCTGTATCGCGCTAATATTCCCGTAAGAAGTTTTATGCCCCGTTCCAAGCCAAGGTCACAGCGATCGATATGTTCATATTAGTCCACCAACTCTTGTCAGATATTCGGAACTTATTCTCAACTTGTGGAGGCAGAGATAATAGTAAGGGTTATGTGTCTGGTCTCAATTACCTAAGTGTAATAGCAGACGTTTTTCTCGCAGAATCGTCTACTTCTTCATTCTCCGAAACAACCAGAACATATTGACTATGGGAATTTTAAAAGATTCTAGGAGATTTTGGCATTCCTAAATTTATATCGACTTAATCGTTGCCGACTTGACGGCATTGATCTCAGTCTGACTGTCTATTACAAAGTTGGGTCACGGAGTAAACAATGTACACAATGCTTACCAACCACACTTAGATCTCAGCCTGAAAATCATTCAGTATTTTGTAAGTCTGTTAGTCGGATCCCATTCTCAAGTCCATTTGGACCCTTCTATGAGGAATCGATGGTATACCCAGCCCGTCGATAAGAGCCCGAGCTTTTTAAGCGGCCTGAAATAACAGAACCCTACCGTGTTTCCGTGTTGCATGTGACAGAATCCAGAGCTTTTTAAGTGGCTTGTTTGTCTGAGAAAATGTAGAGCATTCGGCTGTCTCCTGTATGGCCGCAAGCTCTGCGTGAAAGACGCTACAGTGGTCCGGTAGGCGGAATGACTTTTTGCACTCCTAATTGCTCCCCGATCCGGCTTTATTGAAGATCGCCATTGGCAAGCAATTGTCCTTTACCTTCGGCAGACTAATCCCTTCCGGAATTGTTGTATGACTGCACTGTTTCGCTTTCCAGCGAGTTAGATTCCGCAGTCTGACAGCTGCTCGAGCTCCATTTGGCTTCACCATAATCTCTATTTGGCAGTATGTTTAGCATCACATTCAATGCTTCCGAGGGCGTTGTGCGTGGTGTCCCACTGATCCATAGCAGGGCAACCCTCTGCACTTTTTGCAATGTACCGGTGGCCCGATTTCTTGGCCAAAATAGGGCACCAGACCGCCATATAAAAGTGTTGACCCGACTAGAACAGTATACTATATAAACAATGCACCGTTCTATGGACATGGCCCATCTACGTGTAACTGCACCTTTACAGGTGTGGCTGCCGTAGCTTTGCGCATGCCCAGTATAATTTCTTATCTAACAAAAATCCCATATATTTCGCAGACTCACTGATCGTAAGCTCCGTCTGCGCCATAGTAGATACCTTTAATCGTGGTGGCCTATAATTTCTAGTAAATATTTAAACTCTGTTTTGCTTAGTTTTACTGGTAGGCCGTTTCCGCTGGCTCACTTTTCCAACATACCATCATATAATGTTTGCGACTTTTGTTCGGCACTGTAGCTTAAAACTACTGTTTATTTTTTAGAATTTTTGTGTTACGGTTTTCTTCCATATTTAAAATAAATTTTGTTTATTCGTTATATGGAAGCAAATGCGTCAAAAAAATCAAAAAAAAATAACGGTAATTTTTAGCCATTTGAAACTTGCACTTAATTATATTACAATTCAATGGGCATACTCAGAATCTTTTTAAGAAATCTAATTAAAATTCGAAATTTTTGCTAAGTTTGTTGAATTTTTGTTTAATTATTGCAAAAGTTAGAAACATGGGTTTTGTTAAGGAATGAAGAATATTTCCATAAAAAAAACAACTAAAATTAAATAACGAAATAAATATATTGTTAAAACGTGTCAGTATGTGGTGCAACTATAATTTTTGCCGACCACTGTATTTGGTATATCTACAAGATTTTATTCTTTAAAGAGAGTGGGAGTATTGAAAAATTATTTCCCTCCAACCTACCCTACAGTGTTACCTATGAACTCAAAAACAGATGTAGATATATATATATACACTTAGGTCTCTTTTTATGCGGTACATGCGTTCCTCAGAAAGCCGCATAAAAAAGTTCTTTACTTTCATACAAAAACAGGGGATGCGTTCCAACATTTTCAAAAACCGCATAAATTCAGATACTCCATGTAAAAAATTCTAAAAAACCGCATAAAAAATCCAGTGAGGCATTATT